CGGAGAGGGAGGAGGAGGTCGAAGTTTGTTATCCCTGGGTCTGTTCCAGCCGCCCTCGGCGATCTACTCGGACCCCATCGAGGAGGCTCCTAGGAGGAGGAGGTCGAAGCTTGTCATCCCTGGGTCTGTTCCAGCCGCCCTCAGCGATCTACTCGGAAGCCCCCCATCGAGGAAGGCTCCTAGGAGGAGGAGGTCGAAGTTGGGTGGGCTGGTCACTTCCCCATAATCTGTTCCAGCCGCCCACAGACGATCTACTCGCACCCCATCGAGGAGGATCTCTAGACTCGGAGAGGGAGGCGGAGGTCGAAGCTTGCATCCCCGGCGTCTTTCCGGCCGCCCTCACGATCTACCGGACCCCATCGAGGGAGGCTCCTAGATTCGGAGAGGGAGGAGGAGGTCGAAGATTGTTATCCCAGGGGTCCTGTTCAAGCCGCCCTCGGCGATCTAATCGGACCCCTTGGAGAGACCAGGCTGACCCCATCGAGGAGGCTCTTAGGAGGAGAAAGGTCGACAAGTCTTGTCCAATCCCTGGGTCTGTTCCAGCCGCCCTCAGCGATCTACTCGGACCCCATCGAGGAGGCTCCTAGGAGGAGGAGGTCGAAGCTGGTCACTTCCGCATTTGTTCCAGCCGCCCTCAGCGATCTACTCGCACCCCATCGAGGAGGCTCCTAGACTCGGAGAGGGAGGAGGAGGTCGAAGCTTGTCATCCCCGCGTCTGTTCCGGCCGCCCTTAGCGATCGACTCGGACCCCATCGAGGAGGCTCCTAGATTCGGAGGGAGGGGGAGGTCGAAGTTTGTTATCCCTGGGTCTGTTCCAGCCGCCCTCGGCGATCTACTCGGACCCCATCGAGGAGGCTCCTAGGAGGAGGAGGTCGAAGCTTGTCATCCCTGGGTCTGTTCCAGCCGCCCTCAGCGATCTACTCGGACCCCATCGAGGAGGCTCCTAGACTCGGAGAGGGAGGAGGAGGTCGAAGCTGGTCACCCCCGCGTCTGTTCCAGCCGCCCTCAGCAGGGCGCCGGCGCCAGCGAGTGGTGGGAGGAGGACCCCCGGGGCCGGCCGAGGGGGCGAGGCGGGCGGCCAGGCCGGGCGCCCCGCGGTGCGGCGGCTGAGGTCACCGCTCAAGTTCTCGGCCTCCCAGATGGGGTCGGAGTAGATGGGGTCGGAGGATCGCGCCGCATCGGCGAGGCATCGGCGATGCGGCTCGCTGTGGGGCCCACTTTTCTCCACACCGACGTCCCCGATGCATCGCCGACCTCGCCAGTGCATGGCAGATGCAGCGCCGATGCATCGGCGATGCGTCGCCGATGTATCGGCGATGCGGCGAGATCCTTCGACCCCATCTACTCGGACCCCATCAATGAGGCCTCTAGAAGTCGGGCCTGTCCCTCTGCAGGAGGAATCTTCAGAAATAGTCCACCAAAAAGTAGTCCGGGGACGACTTGTCGAGGACCTCTTGCGTATTTGGGGCGCATCGTTGGAGCCATGTTTTACTTTTCGTCCAAAATCTGCCTGTAGGGGGACATGCCCGACGTACGTCACCGCTAGGGGGCCACATGCGAACCCTACCCCCACCCCACACGATTTCTGAGGGGGAGGGTGGGGTTCACTTCGTTCGGGAGCTTTCGAGCGAAGTGAACCCCACCCTCCCCCTCAGAAATCTTGGGGGTGGGGGTAGGGTTCGCATGTGGCCCCCTAACCGCGGCGGCCCGAGATCACCACGGCGGTCCTGAGGGTCCACATCGGCGGGGGGAGAGATCTGCTCGGCTCACGGGGCCGCGGGGGAGGCGAGGGCTGGGCGAGGGCGCTCGGCCGTGTGGCGCGCGGCGGGACGCCACGCTCAAGTTGGGCGTGTCCCTCTACAGGAGGAACGTTCAAGAACAGTCAAAGCATAGCCTGGGGACGATTTGTTTGATACAGTTTGTGGATCATGTTGGAGCAAGTCTTGACTATTTGTAGTTTTTCGTCCAAGATCCGCCCGTAGGGGGACGCGCCCGACCTAAACCAAGTCTCAAACACACGAGGGATTGCTTTGAGTTGCAGACCGGGCGTCTGATAGTCTCGGGGTGTTGTTTCAGCGTTGGGCTCCTTGTTCGAGCTTGAGCTTCGGAGCCCAGGCTTCGCGTGTGTTGCATCCTTGTTGGAGCTCGGGCTCAGGATTCTGGTCCTCGCGCGCGGAGCATCTTAATCCTGGAGAGTCACTCGGACACCGCAGCCCTGCGCCCTCGTAGGTTCGCTCGGCGGCGAGCCCCAGGGGGGACGGCGAACGGAAAACATGTTTTTTCCCAACCATCCTGTGGTGCTGGGTCCTCGTTTTAAAGAGACAGCGCCCCGCGTCTCCTCCCGCTGCCCCCTCCCCCCTCCCCCTCATCCCTGCGTTTCACCCACCCAGCACAGCGTTTCGTAGTCCCATAGGGAGCTCCACCGAAGGCCCCACTGGCAGGGTTCGCATGGCGGCCTCGGGCCATTTCGGCACACCCCTCACGAGGATCGTGGCCCCATAGGGAGCTCCACCGAAGGCGCCAGGGGCAGGGTTCGCATGGCGGCCCCGGGCCATTTCGGCACACCCCTCACGAGGATCGTGGCCCCATAGGGAGCTCCACCGAAGGCGCCAGTGGCAGGGTTCGCATGGCGGCCTCGGGCCATTTCGGCACACCCCTCACGAGGATCGTGGCCCCAAAGGGAGCTCCACCGAAGGCCCCAGTGGCAGGGTTCGCATGGCGGCCTCGGGCCATTTCGGCACACCCCTCACGAGGATCGTGGCCCATAGGGAGCTCCACCGAAGGCGCCAGAGGCAGGGTTCGCATGGCGGCCTCGGGCCATTTCGGCACACCCCTCACGAGGATCGTGGCCCCATAGGGAGCTCCACCGAAGGCCCCCAATGGCAGGGTTCGCATGGCGGCCTCGGGCCATTTCGGCACACCCCTCTCGAGGATCGTGGCCCCATAGGGAGCTCCACCGAAGGCTCCAGTGGCAGGGTTCGCATGGCGGCCTCGGGCCATTTCGGCACACCCCTCACGAGGATCGTGGCCCCATAGGGAGCTCCACCGAAGGCTCCAGTGGCAGGGTTCGCATGGCGGCCTCGGGCCATTTCGGCACACCCCTCACGAGGATCGTGGCCCCATAGGGAGCTCCACCGAAGGCGCCAGTGGCAGGGTTCGCATGGCGGCCTCGGGCCATTTCGGCACACCCCTCACGAGGATCGTGGCCCCATGGAGCTCCACCGAAGGCGCCAGTGGCAGGGTTCGCATGGCGGCCTCGGGCCATTTCGGCACACCCCTCACGAGGATCGTGGCCCCATAGGGAGCTCCACCGAAGGCGCCAGGGGCAGGGTTCGCATGGCGGCCTCGGGCCATTGCGGCACATCCCTCACGAGGATCGTGGCCCCATAGTTGTGCTGCTTCAACAACCGCGCCTGGGCGTCGTATTCCGCCTTGTCGACGTGCAACGCCACCTCCTCCCTCATGGCTCTCAAGGCCCTCTCCTGCTTCTGCTCCTCGGTGAGAGGGACGCCGTCCTTGTCGTCGTCGGCGCCCGCGAAGACGGCCACGAACGTGTCCCTGAGCATGTCGGGCTCCGGCGGGAAGCCGTGGCCACATAGGGAGTGCGGGCGAAGATGGTATTCACAATTGCGGCATTCACAGTTGCATATGGTTGAGTCCTTCGCCAGGATAATTTTGCTTGCGCCCTCTTACATCTTCCATCCCATGTCCCATCCAGCTACACGCTCATACTCCAGTTTGGTATGAGAGCGCTTGAAGCGTAATATACAGTTCGGCTTACCATGTTGCTTTCGACTGCCTGCCGGAGTCTCTGGGTGAGTCATGGGCCGTCTTCGGGCGCTCTTCTGCCGTGAATGAAACACGTACGCATTCCAGGCGATGACGCTTTGCAGTTGCGAAAGACTCGCAGCGGGCTCACCTCGTGAGATTTTACCCCAGATATCCGACTAGTCGCAGGTTGCCATTGCGCAGCTTTTGGCCGCCAGACGCCTGCGAGGCCGCACAGAAACCTCCCGCCCCTCCCATTCTGCATGCCTTCCATCTCCTTCGAACACACGTTTCCTCAATATGCGACCTCACCAGCATCCGCGCTCGCAGAGTAGAATTGGCCCGCCCGCGACCTCGACGTCCGCTTCCAAGGTGCTTTGTTGAAGCATGACTGGCGCACGCAGATTGATGTCTCGGTGCCGTCTGACCCCCCCTTTGCGCGTACAGTCGACGCGTGTGGGCCGCATGTTTGGGGAGGAGGAGGAGGAGGAGGAGGAGGAGGAGGAGGAGGAGGAGGAGGAGGAGGAGGAGGAGGAGGAGGAGGCGCCGGTTGCGGGCTGCATCCGAAGACTTTTGGAGCCTTCGGGGGGCTTGTTGGCAGGTGTGTGAGGCACCTCTTCGGGCCTCTTGGGCTCTCTTGGAGGCCTTTTGGGCCTTGTGGGGCCCTCTTGGACGCCTCGCGCCTCCACGGACGCAACCTTGGCGGCGAGGCGCATTCCCGAATTCTCAATCATCGAGCCTCGATCTTTCTCGATCCTCCTCGTCCTCCTGTTCTTTCGGCCACGCGTAGAAGGGGGGCAGGGGGAGAGGGGGGACGGTTTCATAGAAGCACCTTGCTTCTTAGCAGGCGCGGGCCTTATCTAATGATGTAAGGCCGGCGCTTTCTAATAAGCGGCCTCCTTCAAAAACGCCTTCCCCCCTCCCCCGAACCAAAGCGGATCCTGGGCACAGGGTCGGTGTACACGCCTCCCCCGTTGGCTCTCGGCTGAGAGACTTCGGTCGTTTCGTCCGTCCTCCTCCTCCTCCGCCTCCTCCTCTTCCTCCTCCTCCTCCTCGCCCTCCCCCTCCCCCTCCACCTCCTCCTCCTCCTCCTCCTCCTCCTCCTCCTCCTCCTCCTCCTCCTCCTCCTCCATCCTCCCCCTCCTCCTGCCCCCTCCTGCTCGCCGCCGAGCTTCGTCCTGCTCGGTCTGCCAGCTCACGCCGAGCCGGGCCGAACTCGTGCCTCCTCCCAGGACTGGGGCGCAGGGCGCAGCTCGGCGGCCGAGTGGAGCGGCGGCGGCGGGCCGAAGGAGGCCGCCAACTGGAGGAGGAGGAGCAGGAGGAGGAGGAGGAGGAGGAGGAGGAGGAGGAGGAGGAGGAGGAGGAGGAGCAGCAGTTGGTGGAGGGAGGATTTCTGCCCGATCCTCCTCTGGGAGTTCCTTGGGCTGCGTTGGTAGGGCGTTCCTGAGTCGGGGCGATGGTCGTTTTCTGGGCCGCCTCTCGGGTCGCGCTTGCCGTCCCTGCGCACAGGTGCCTGTAGTGTGCCCTGCTAAACCTATGGAGATCCGTGTCTTCTCGGTGGTCTGATCCAAGACATCCGCGCGGACCGGCGAAAGTTTATATTTGTTCGGTGTTTTGTTCCTCCACCTCCTCATCTTGTCCCTGACGATGCTCCTTATCCTTTTCCGCTCTCCTCCCTTTCTTTCTGCTCCTTTTCCCTCCTCCCATCCTGCGCGCTCTCCAGCTTGTTGTCCTCCTTCTCGTCGTCCTCGTCGTCGTTTTCATCTTCCGCCTCACCTTTTCCTCCTGCTCCCCGTCTTGTCTTCGTCCCTTCCTCCCACTCCCACTCCCACTCCCCCTTCCCCTCCTCCTCCTCCTCCTCCTCCTCCTCCTCCTCCTCCTCCTCTTCTTCCTCCGCCCCGAGGGTGGGGGCCTGGCACCTGTTCTCATGGTGTCAGCGCCACACACTCCTCGGGGCACACTGTCAGTGTCAATTGCATGCGGCGGCTGGGGGCAGATCAAACGGCTTTCGTCGTTTTTGCACCAGCCACGTGGCACTTTGCCCGTGGCAGCGGCGCGTTATCTGCGCCCGTGACCTGGAGATGTGTACCAGGCACGGGGAGTGCGCATTTGGTTGAGAGGCGGAGCCATGTGGTCCGTAAGTCCCTTGGGACCTTGTGTCCGCTCACCTTGGGGTACAAACCCAGTTGCACATGCCATCCGATTCGGCAGGGGTGACGGTCGGGAAGTACTGCGCGGTGACGCGGTGAACCGGCTGTCCCCCTACGCACCACGCCGTCTCGGTTGGGCAGCGAATCGCTGAGCGACGAGGTATCTGCCTTTCCCCTGACCGTCGGTGCTGGCGCCTGCGGGCCCCTTCCTCCTGTCCGGGAGGCCGAGGGTGACGGTTGAGCTTCGCTCGCCGTTCACTTCTAAAATCTATGACACTCCTGACGTTCCTTCTCCTCCTCCTCCTCCTCCTCCTCCTCCTCCTCCTCCTCCTCCTCTCGTCGGTGTTCGATGTTCCTCGATCCCCCTCGCTCTTCCTCGATCCTCCTGGACCTCATCGATCCTCCTCGACCCCGATCCTCCTCGATCCTGGACCCTCCACCCAGAAGGCCTCGACCGTCGACCCTCGATCCGCTTCGAGCATCACTGCCTCCGCCTCGGCCTCCCCGCCTCCTTCGGCAGGCGGCCGAGCCGGCGGCGCGGCATGCGGCCGAGCCCGCGGCAGACCCCGTTGGCAGCCTGGGCGACGGACGGGCCCTGCGGGGCGGGGCCGCCGGCAGCTCCGCACAGGAACCGCCGGGGCCGACGGCGGCCTTTGGGGGCAGCCTGGGTCGGCGGTCGAGTCCGCTGGTGGGGGGGGGGGGGGCGAGGTCCAGGGGGTGGTGGTCCAGGTGCTGGGGGGGGTCAGGTCAAGGGGGGGGGAGGGGTCCAGGGGGGAGGGCGAAGAGTTTCAGGGAGAGGGTCCGGTCCAAGGGGGGGGGGGTCCAGGGGGGGGTGGCAGGGGTGGGGGGGCGGTCGGGTCCGCCGGTGGGGTTGGGGTGGGGGCAGGGGAGGGGTTCACCACAGGGGAATGGGGAGCCCGGGCTAGAAACACATGCCCAGACTGTGTCCCAGGGGGGGGTCCTTCTCCAGGGGACCCCCCTGGGTGGCTGTCGAGTGGCTCAGCACTGGGGGGGGGGCCTCGTGTGCCACCGTGCGAGTTGTTCCAGGGTTGGCAGTGCCTTTCGTGCCAGAGCAGTTGAGAGCGATGCAGAGCTAGGGCGTCTCTCGAGCGCCTGCATCCTCGTACCCCCAACTCGGTGTCGTGTCCGATCGTGGAACGTCAAGCAACGCTCCAGGGGCCTGTGAGCGGCTTCGCTGCAGCGGAATGTTTCTATCTTGCTGCCCTGCGGTGCAGCAGTTTTAGTGGAGTGGCAATGGTGACGTGTGAGAAGATTTCATGGCACGAAGCATTGATTGTCGAAAAGCGGCTTCTGCGCCAACGAACGCGAGATTTCTTCGTAATGGCGGGGTCTGGTGCATGCCTGAGGTGATCCAAGTGTCCCGCCTAGAATGTGATTATCTCCTTCCCTCTCTCTCCATTTCTCCCTCACTATTTCCCATGTTGTTTGTTTTTTGTTTCTTCTCTCTCTCTCACACTCTCTCTACGTGTGCGTGTATGTATATATGCACATGTGCATAATCGTATCGAGCCAGGCTACCCCCACGCCTCTCGCATAGCACCTCCCATCACCTCTTGTAGAACATGTGTTGTTTCTCTCTCTCTCTCTCTCTCTGCCTTTCTCTCCTTTCACAATTCCACCGATGCTACGTTCCCCTCCTCGTCCAACTTCCTCCTCCTTCTGCTCGTCCCCCCCTCCTCCTCCTCCTTCTCCTCCTCCTCCTCCTCCTCCTCCTCCTCTTCCTCCTCCTCCTCCGTTGCCATTTTGACTCAAGGCCCGGCGAAAACACTTGTCGTTCGCTTGCAGCTTCAGCTGTATCCCGCCGAGGTCCAGAACCAGAAGCTTGAAGCCGAGGCGGCCCTCAACACGTTCATCGGCGACAACGGCGGAGGACTCGGAGGTCGAGTGCGTCACGGCGATCGGCTGCGCCCCCGATAGCGCCTCGCGGACTGAGGAGGCCCGTGCTGCCTGGAGAGGCGCGGCGCTCCGTGGCGGTGTCCCCGCTGTCATCCCCGGCGGTGGACGCGAGGAGCCCCTCGGCGGCCGGGCCGCAGCTCTTGCTGGCACGCGCTGCGCTTGCGGAGCGCGGCGGCTTTCAGCTCGTGGAAGCCCGTCGTGTTCACGTGTTCACTGATGCCGTGCCGATCCGCGCTATTGGCGGGTTGGAATATAGAGGCTGCGTCGCAGAAGGCGCCCGCCCCGCATCTGCAAGCAGGGTCCGCGTCTTCTGAGAAGCACGGGTGCTTCTCAGACGGCGCGGGCCCCGATGGGCAGACACCACCGCCGCCGCCGCGTCGGTGCCTCCTCCCTTCTCCACCCTCCTCCTCCTCCTCCTCCTCCTCCTCCTCCTCCTCCTCCTTCCTGGGCGAGGGAGGGGATGAGGGATGTGGTGGTGGTGTATACCCCTGGGCCCCAAGAGAGTAGACACCACCACCACCGCGGCGATTCCTCCTCCGCCCTCCTCTGCCTCTATACCTCTTGGGCCCCGTGCACGAGGCCTGCCCGGCTCCGCCTGCCCCCCCCCGCCCTCCCCACTCCTCCTCCTCCTCCGCCTCCTCCTCCTCTTCCTCCTCCGCCCGCCTCCTCCCCCCCTCCTCTCCTCCTCCTCCTCCTCCTCCTCCTCCTCCTCCTCCTCCTCCTCCTCCTCTTCCTCCTCCGCCCTCCTCCCCCACCTCCTCCTCCTCCTCTTCCTCCTCCTCCTCCTCCTCCTCCTGCTCCTTCTCCTCCTCCTCCTCCTCCTCCTCCTCCACCTCCTCCTCCTCCTCCTCCTCCTCCTCCTCCTCCTCCTCCTCCTCCTCCCCCCCCCCTCCCCCTCCCCCTCCTCCTCCTCCTCCTCCTCCTTCCTCCTCCTCCTCCTCCTCCTCCTCCTCCTCCTCCTCCTCTACCTCCTCCTCCTCCTCCTCCTCCTCCTCCTCCTCCTCCTCCCTCCTCCTCCTCCTCCTCCTCCTCCTCCTCCTCCTCTCCCCTCCCCCTCCCCCTCCCCCTCCTCCCCCTCCTCCTCCTCATCCTCCTCCTCCTCCTCCTCCTCCTCCTCCTCCTCCTCCTCCTCCTCCTCCTCCTCCTCCTCCTCCTCCTCCTCCTCCTCCTCCTCCCCTCGTCGGTTCTCGATGTTCCCCGATCCCCCTCGCTCCTCCTCGATCCTCCTGGACCTCATCGATCCTCCTCGACCCCGATCCTCCTCAATCCTGGACCCTCCACCCGGAAGGCCTCGACCGTCGACCCTCGATCCGCTTCGAGCATCACTGCCTCCGCCTCGGCCTCCCCGCCTCCATGGGCAGGCGGCCGAGCCGGCGGCGCGGCAGGCGGCCGAGCCCGCGGCGGACCCCGTGGGCAGCCTGGGCGACGGGCGGGCCCTGCGGGGCGGGGCCGCCGGCAGCTCCGCACAGGAGCCGCCAGGGCCGACGGCGGAATGGGGGGGGGGGAGTTCCAGGTGGGAGGGTCCAGGGGATGGGGGGACGAGTCCATGGGGAGGGTGGGTCGGGTCCAGGAGGCGGGGGATTCCAGTCCAGGGGGGGGGGTCGGGTTCGGGGGGGAGGGGGTCGGGTCCAGGGATGGGCGGATCCAGCAGGAGGGGGGGGCGGGCGGGGAGTTCACCACTGGGTATCGGGGGGGCCAGAATGGACAGACATGCCAAGACCGCCGCCCAGGGGACACCTCTGAACTTCCGCCCGGCCAGAGGAGCGTCGAGGACAGGCCGGCGCCGCCGCGGGGTCCGGCGCAGAGAGCCACGACTCAGGCGGCGGTGGCGGCTGGGGCGGCGGCGGGGGCGGCGGCTGGGGCGGCAGCTGGGGTGGCAGCGCAGGACGCGGTGGGGCGCGTGGCGGCGCGGACGCCAGCTGGCAGAGCGGCGGGGGAGCCAGCTGGTGGAGCGGAAGCAGCTGGGGGGTGGGCGGCGGCGGCGGCGGCGGCGGCCGCGGCGGCGGCGGCGGCGGCGGCGGAAGGGGCTCTGACTGGTGGAGCGGCGGGGGCGTGGACGGCGGCGGCGGCAGCGGCGGGCGGGCCAAGGGGGGCCGCTGGCAGGCCGAGGGCGAGGGGAAGGCTGCCAGGGTGCCCTGGGATGAGGGGGACCGGCTGCTGCCCTCGGGCTGCGGGGCCGGCGCAGAGGCGCCCTGGGCGCAGCAGCAGTCGCAGAACCAGGCCGCGCTCCTGGAGCAGCAGGCTCAGCAGCAGGTGCTGGAGGCCGCCGCGTGGCAGCGGCTCACGTCCGAGAAGCTGCAGGCCGAGTGGGCGGCCGAGGAGCAGCGCAAGCGCGGGGACAGGCTCGAGGTGCAGCTGAAGATCGCGACGGGCGAGCTGGAGAGGCTGCGGCAGCAGCTGCTGCAGCGCCCGGTCCGAGGCGAGCTGCCTCCCGCGGGGGCCCCAGAGGGGCGCGCGGCCGAGTCGATCGGCGACCTGAAGGGCGCCCTGCTGTCGGGGGTCCTGTCCCACGCGCCCCCCGACGCCGCTGCCAACGCAGGCGGCCTGCAGGTCATCTGCCCCGAGGCCGCTCTCATATTCGGGTGCGCCCCAGCCGGGCGGGTGGTCATGGGGGGGGGGGGCCGCGTGGGGGGTGAAGACAAGGGCCCCGACGGGGCCAGCTGGGGCCTCTTTGGGCGCCAGCTGGCTCCAAAAGGGGCCCTGCCTCAGGGGCCCTCTTGGGGCCTCTCTTCCCCCCCCCTTCGGGCCACCCCCGAGTGCCACCCGCCCGCCCCAGCCCTGCCACTGCCGCTGGAGCTGCAGCCCGCTGGGGCGCAAGCCGGGGCCGTGCTGTGCTTCAGCGCCCGCGGCTGCCCGGCCGGGGGCCCTCCGGAGATCGTGCCGGACAGCGTCTCGCTGGGGCCGCCGGACCCGGGCAGCGGGCGCCGCTCCTTTGTGGGCACCCTGAAGGCCTTCTCCCAGCGGAGCAGCGGCGAGCGAATAGGCTCGGAGGCGAAGGGCATCACGATGCCGACACGCTTCCCGGGCGGCTCTCGTCGCCACGGCTGGATTCGCCTCGGAGTCTTTGTCAGAACGGACCTCGGGGGGAGAGGTCTGGGGGCACCTCGGCATCGGTTTCGCTCTGTTCCCCCACAGGCTGGATAACCTGCCCCGCATCGCGCAAGCTCTACGGCTCGGACGTCTACGTGCACGGCTCTATGGTGGACGGTTTCAGCATCGGGGACGCCCTGCGCTTCGAGGTGCACGTCAACGCCAAGGCCCGGCGGACGCCGCGTCCTTCACCTCCGCCGACCCTGGTCAGACCCGTCCTGGGGCCTGGATCGCGTGCACGCCCTCCTGGCCAAGGCAGGAGGTCGTACGCTGCACGCCCCTCCTGTGGGCCCAGGGGGTGGCCTCTGGCCAGGATCGGCGCCGACGCACGGCTGGCGCCCTCCGAGAGGCGCAGCCGCAGGCGTCCACGGGAAGCGTCGCGCGGGTGGGCATCTCCGCGGGGGGCAGCGGCGCGGCGCTCGCGGGGCGGCGGGTCGGCATGGACGCCACGTCCTACGCGCCTGGGCGCGTCCTCTCCCTGCAGTTGGAGGACAGCGGCTGCACGCAAGAGTGGCCCTTCGCCGGAGTGGCCTCTGGTGCTGGCCCGCCGGGGCCCCCCAATCGCCGAACGCGATGCGATAGCAGCGCCTTGCGCGCCTGGGGAGGTCCCCCCCCCCCCCCGAAAGCCGCGCACCAAGGGCCACTCTTGCCCCCGAGGTCACTCTCACGTGCTCGGCATCGCTCGAACGTGTGCGTTTTTTCCTCGGGCGAGAGCCATCGAGGAGCCTCTTGGAGCATCCTGCGGCAGACAGGCACGCGCGAGGCCGAAAGATGCACGGGAGGTGGCCGTCGGAGCGACGGCAGGTGTCGTGTAGCCAAGGACGGCGCCCCCGCCGGGGCGCCCTCCTCCTCCTCCTCCTCCTCCTCCTCCTCCTCCTCGTCGTCCTGCTCCTCCTCTCGTCCTCGTCCTGCTCCTCCTCTCCTCCTCCTCCTTCCTCCTCCTCCTCCTCCTCCTCCTCCTCCTCCTCCTCCTCCTCCTCCTCCCTTTCCTCCTCCTCCTCCTCCTCCTCCTCCTCCTCCTCCTCGGGAAATGGGCGTCCGAGCGACGGCAAGTTAATTACGCTTAGCCAAGGACAGCGCCCCCGCCGGGGTGCCAAGCCTGCAGCCCGCTGGCACGGGGCCCTCGGCCCTGCAGGCGCTGAAGGGGCTCGTCGAGGAGGCGAAGAAGGAGCGGCTCATGGCTCGCGGGGGGGGGGGGGTCATCCTTCTCCTCCTCGCCTTCCTCCTCCTCCTCCTCCTCCTCCTCCTCCTCCTCCTCTCCTCCTCCTCCTCCTCCTCCTTTCCTCCTCTCCTCCTCCCTCTCCTCCTCCTCTCCTCCTCTTTCTTCCTTTCTCCTCCCTTTCCTCCTCCTCCTCCTCCTCCTCCTCCTCCTCCTCCTCCTCCTTTCCTCCTCCTCCTCCTCCTCCTGCTTCTCCTCCCTCCTCCTCCTCCCTTTCCTCCTCCCTTCCTCCTCCTCCTCCTGCTCCTCCTCGTCTTCCTCCCTTTCCTCCTCCCTTTCCTCATCCCTTTCCTCCTCCTCCTCCTCCTCCTTCTCCTCCTCTGATTCCTCTTCCTTATCTTATTCTTACACTTCCTCCTCCTCCTGGCGGAATCCCGTCCAGACCCCCAACGAGGGAGGGAGGGGAGGGGCGGGGCGGGGCTGGGGAGGGGACGGGGAAGCTGAATGGAGGAGGAGGAGGAGGAGGAGGAGGAGGAGGAGGAGGAGGAGGAGGAGGAGGAGGAGGAGGAGGAGGAGAGGGAGGAGTTTCCCCGCGACGTTCGCCTGCCGGAATTAAGCAAATTATTGAATTCCACGGCGAATACGGACGTCACTCGGTGGAGAGGATGGGTCGGTTGGCAATGTTGAGACTAGCGTCAGCGCCGTCTGGAAATGCTTAGGAATCGCTCAGCACAGCTCGGGTAGTAGATCCCTGCAGGCCTGCAGGGATTTGCTCTGGCAGCGCGTGCACCTGCGGGCACCGCGACGTGTATGGCCATGGAGGGGACGAGGACGACAAAAGGCGGAGAATGAGGAGGAAGAGGGCGACGGCAAGGCCACCTCCTCGTGTTTGGCTACGGACACAAAGGGGACGAGGACGACGAAAGGCGGATAATGAGGAGGAAGAGAGCGACGGCAAGGCCAGAGGTCAGAGGTCCAGCAGCAGCAGATGCCCCGCAGTGCTCCACTCCTTCTCCCCCCTCCTCCGTCTGCCCTTGCGTGAAACACCTTGCAGTACAATGAGGAGGGCGAGGACGACGAGAGGAGGAGCAGGAGGAGGAGGAGGAGGAGGAGGAGGAGGAGAAGGAGCAGGAGGAGGATGATGATGAGGAGGAGGAGGAGGAGGGGGAGGGGGAGGGGGAGGAGGAGGAGGAGGAGGAGGAGGAGGAGGAGGAGGAGGAGGAGGTGGAGGAGGTCGAGGAGGAGGAGGAGGAGGAGGAGGAGGAGGACAAGTAAGACGACGTCGCCGACGAGAGGAATGAGAAGGGAGGAGGAGGAGTGAGGGAGGAGAGAGAAGAGGAGGAGGGAGGAGGGAGGACAACCCTGTTATCTGTAAGGGCATCGCCCACTGCAGCCGGCCCCCTCTCTCGGAGAATGCGCTATGCAAGAGCTATGTCATGAGGCCTGGGCGCTGTCGTGTCGCAGTATCGGAACTTCATGCGAGGCCGACTCGTAATGAGCAGAACCAATAGATGACCAGCGGGGTTACCACACCTGGTGATTGGTAAGACGTCGTGACCCTGCCGATCTGTGCGAGGTGTGCAACCGAATTTGAAACAAATGTAGTAAATTCTATGTGTTTTTGGACCCTGACCCCGTCGATCCGCGTGAGGGGTGCCACCGAATTTCAGAAATGTTGAGAATCCCCTGGGTTTTCAGACCCTGACCCCGCCGATCTGCGTGAGGGGTGCCACCGAATTTTAGAAATGTGGCAAATCCCGTGTGTTTTTGCACCCTGACCCCGCCGGTCTGCGTGAGGGGTGCCAGCGAATTTTTAGAAATATGGCGAATCCTGTGTGTTTTTCCCGGAAAGGGCTCGAGCCCAGGGTTCTCTTTTAGTAGGTTTACCCACCGGTTTTTACTTGAAGGGGGCCGGCGGAATTCTTGTGCGATAAATTACGAGGTCGAAGGGGGCCGGCGGATCTCAATTGTGAGGACGAAGGCCATTTTTCGCCACCCCTCACGCAGATCGTGCTCTTGGAATTTGACTGCCTTTAAGGAAACCTCGATATTTTACATGTGAAGTCCACTTTTTTCCGACATCGACTTTAAACGATAAAAAGCAAGGTAAACGCGCTCGCTCGATAAATAACGAGGTACCGCGGCCTCCGGAACGGCGCTGGGAACGGAGTTTTGGATTCTTGAAGTTACATACGTTCGGAAATAGCAGAAATCCACTGTGTTTTTTGACCCTGACCCCGCCGATCTGCGTGAGGTGTGGCACGGAATACCAGAAATGTGTCAAATCCCTTGTGTTTTTGGACCCTGACCCCGCCGATCTGCGTGAGGGGTGGCGCGGAATTCCAGAAATGTGGCAAATCCCCTGTGTTTTCGGATCCTGACCCCGCCGACCTGCGTGAGGGGTGGCGCGGAATTCCAGACATGTGGCAAATCCCCTGTGTTTTCGGATCCTGACCCCGCCGACCTGCGTGAGGGGTGGCACGGAATTTCAGACATGTGGCAAGTCCCATGTGTTTTTGGACCTTGACTTCGCCCAGGAGGGCCCAGGAGGCTCCAGGAGAGCTCAGGAGAGCCCAGGAGCGCCCAGGAGAGCCCAGGAGGGCCCAGGAGGACCCAGGAGGCTCCAAGAGGCACCAGGGGGCCCAAGGAGGGCCCAGGAGAAGCTCCAGGAGTCTCCAGGAGAGCCCAGGAGGGCCCAAGAGGTCCAAGGTCCAAGGAAGACCCAGGAGGGCCCAGGAGCCTTTACGAGGGATCGTGGCCCTGGGAGCGCTGACGTAGCGTAATTTACGAGGGATCGTGGCCCTGGGAGCGCGGGTGTAGTGTAATTTCAGAATTTGTTAAGGATGTCTCGAGCGAAACGCTGGTTTTGCAGAGTTGGGGATGTCTCGAGCGAAACGCTTGTTTTCAGAATTTGTTGAGGATGTCTCGAGCGAAACGCTGGTTTTGCAGAGCCGACCGCGACGCGGAAAAGCGCCCCGCGCGCAGGAATTCCGATGATGTTTCGCGCGTGCCGCGTCCCGCGCGCAGGAATTTCGAGGATGTCTCGACTAATTCGTTCGTTTTGCCAGGATGTCCTTGAATTTTGGCAGGATGTCTCGAGCGAAATGCTTGTCTTTCAGCATTTGTTGAAGACGTTTCGAGCGAAACGCTGGTTTTGCAAAATTGGGGGATGTCTCGAGCGGGGGCCTCGTGGGGGTCCTCGTGGGGGTCCAGAATTCAGAGGATGTCTCAGGCGAAATGCTTGTTTTCACGTCCCGCTCGCAAGAATTTTGAGGATGTCTCGCGCGTGCCGCGTCCCGCGCGCAGGAATTCTGAGGATGTTGGCAGGATGTCTCGAGCGAAACGCTTGTCCCCAGCACGTTCCGTAGCGCGTCCCCTTGGCACGTCCCGCGGTGCGTCCCCATGGCACGTCCCTTGGCACGTCGCTTGGCGGGTCCCTTGAGACGTTCCGCGTCGCGTCCTCCTGGCATGTCCCCTTGTCAATTAGCTCTGGGGCAGCTACTATGTGTTCAGGCAGCTCGAGCTTAAGATCCAGATCAGTTCGGTCAGGACTCGGATGCAAAGGAGGACTCGATCCACGAGGCTATAGAGCACAATCGCGGCATGGCACATCGCAATTCGGCACGGCGCAGCACAGCACAGATTTCGGCACGGTACATCAAGATCGATACACTCAGCATTGCAACTTGGCACGTTCCGTGGGGCGTCCCTTGGCGAGTCCCCCTGGCACGTCGCGTGGCGCGTCCCCTGGCACATTCCGTGGCACATCCATTGGCACGTTCCGTAGCGCGTCCCCTTGGCACGTCCGGCGGTGCGACCCCATGGCACGTCCCCTGGCACGCCGCCTGGCGCGTCCCTTGGGACGTTTCGCGGCGCGTCCTCCTGGCATGCCCCCTTGTCAATTAGCTCTGGGGCAGCTAATATTTGTTCAGGCAGCTCGAGCTTAAGATCCAGATCAGTTCGGTCAGGACTCGGATGCAAAGGAAGACTCGATCCACGACGCTATAGAGCACAACCGCGGCATGGCACATCGCAATTCAGCACGGTGTAGCACAGCACAGCCCTCGGCACGGTACATCAAGATCGATACAATCAGCATTGCACTTGCCCGTCACCCAATCAGGTGTCTTTGAAAACGTTGCCATGTGTTACATTTCTATATTCCTTTCCGGGTTCGTGGGTCGATCATGTTGCACCATGACCCCGCCGATTTGCGTGAGGGGTGCTACCGAATTTCAGAAATCCTACATGTTTTTGGACCCTGACCCCGCCGATCTGCGTGAGGGGTGCCACCGAATTTTAGAAAAGTGGCAAATCCCTTGTGTTTTTGGACCCTGACCCTACGGATCCGCGTGAGGGGTGTCGCCGAATTTCAGAAATGTAGCAAATCCTTTGTGTTTTTGGACCCTGACCCTGTCGATCCGCGTGAGGGGTGCCACCGAATTTCAGAAATGTTGAGAATCCCATTGGTTTTGGGACCCTGACCCCGCCGATTTGCGTGAGGGGTGTAAATTTTCACTCACCCCAGCAATTCAGACAACACGTCCAGGGCGTCGTAAAAATGCCTGTTTTGGGCATCCCCCCCTCGCGCGGTCCATCAACAAGGAACAGTGAGCAGCAAGAAGCAGCAGTGTAACAGTGGAAACTGGAAGCTGCAACTGGTATAGGAAACTGCGAACCTTCGGCCTAATACAGCCTGCACAAAGGGGGCCGGCGAATATTCTCAGCGATCCCCTTGGATTTGCGCCTGGCTACCCACAGCAGTTCCCAGCAGATCCAGGGCAGCCGCGCCCGTGGTGCTCGCAGGCGACAGGTGCTCGCAGGCGCACGCGCTGCCGGCAGGTCCCCACAGGGGTCCGCTCGCCGAGCTGCCCTTGGCTCTTCCTGGGCACTCCCATGCGACGCCGACGCGAATCGCGACGTCACATGGGGGAGGGGGGTGGGCGGGGACTCCTTCCTAACAGAGGAGGCCGAGGACAAACCAAGGAACGGCCCAAACCGAGGGAAAAAAAAACCACACC